TTGCATTGGCCCTGCATTAGAGTCTGACCTCGTAGCCCTTTGCTGCGTGTCATCCCCTCTTTTTCCCCCTTTCCTGTCCATCTTGACCTGTCTAATGAAATAAAGGCAAAATTCCCCCAAAACATACATATAAAAAACAAAAACAGTGATTGTCACATAATTTTATGTAATTTTCCAAACCTATATTTTCTAGCCCATGTTTCGGTAATAAATCTGTTTATGCATTGAATATAAAAATGGTGTATTGCTTAGATATTTTAAGACCTCTCTAATCCAGTCATCTATGTCTGTCTTGTGTTGTGGCAGGTTTTTAGCTGCCATCACAAAAAGCCACCCACAGCGCAGTGAAGTCTTCAGGTCAGATCTAGACAAGTGTCTGCCAAACATTCAGGACATCCAGAATGCCTTTGTTAAAGTCAGGCAGAGCTGTGTCATAGGTGAGCCTCATTGTATTGTCTGTATCAAATACATCTCAATGTACTTTTCTTTTGAGTGGAAATAGAGAGGATTTCTTGTAATGCTTGCATTTCGTTTTTCGGGTTGTACAAATGTTTTACTGTTTTGATTGTGTGCAGATCCTTTTGAGGAGTCTGAGGAGCGTTGGCTTTCATCTATTGAAAACTCACGTTGGCTGGAGTACGTAAGGTATGTAAACAACCTGATACTGCATGGGAGCTGTTTTATAAACTACTACAAGGTAAAAGCTAAAATTAAAATGTCTTAGTGGCTTTCACAATGTTTGCCTAACCCTCATAGTTCCATTTGCAATATAACATACCTGCGTGAACCTTTTGTATTATTACTACATGTTTTTCAAAATCCGTTAACACGTATGTTCTGGTTGTGATTCAAGGGCTTTCCTGAAACACTCAGCTGAGATAGTGTACCATCTGGATGGAAAGAATTCTTCAGTCGTTCTTCAGGGTAAAACTCTCTTTGTCTTCATCAGTCATTACTGATACCATAGTACTTTGAGGTCAAGACTCATAGTTTGAAGGGAGTCACAGAGCCACAGAATTATTTATTCTTCACTTTACTGCACCGTGAACCTAACCTTGGATTTCATTAGTCCGTCAGGTGTGATATTGCACCAACTGTGTCTTCAAACACGTTGCACAGCCAAAACACAAATGTAATTATTGTGGTCAAATTAGAATCATAGTAGTTCAGAGTGACCTTGCAATGCTTTCCTCGCAAGCAGCTTGTTGAAGCTTTTGTTTTCTCCTTTTTGTTCACACCTGTACAGAGGAAGAAGACAGAGACCTGAGCTGTGTAGTGTCCTCCTTGGTGCAGCTCATGTTGGACCCTCATTATCGAAGCCTCATTGGCTTTCAGAGTCTGGTGCAGAAGGAGTGGGTGATGGCTGGCCATCGCTTCTTAGACAGATGCAACCACTTAAAGAAGAACGACAAAGAGGAGGTATTTGTGTAACAGTAAATAACCCAGTCCGAGAACTAATAGATTTGACAAGGCACTTACGCTTGTTGTTTGTTTCTCTCTGTTCTCAGTCCCCACTGTTCATGCTCTTCCTTGACTGCGTGTGGCAGATTATGAACCAGTACCCAGCAGCATTCGAGTTCACAGAGGCCTATCTGACAGTACTGAGTGATAGCATGTGGATCCCACTCTTCAGCACTTTCCTCTTCAATTCTCCAAAACAGCGTGCTCAGCACTTGATGGTGACGGATATATACATATATTTATTTAGCTAGATAGTTTGGTTTAATAAAGATGTTTATACACGGAAATGACAAGAGTGAATACAACTGTTTTTATAACCCTGTGCACCAAATGGAAAAGATTCAACTATAGTCCTGAATATGTTTGAATTAATTAATGGGAAGAAGATAAAATTAAAATAAAACAAATAACATTATCTGATTTGTACTTGCTTAAAAGTTAAATATTAAATATTAGATCTCTGTCAGAATGTGTTAGTGGCCCAAGAAGAATAAAAAACATGTTATAATTTCAGGTGATAGTCTGTAACAAAGCAACATGTTTTTGTGGTATAATTTCATGTCAGAGCCTATAATTTCCGTCTGTGTGTGTCAGATAATTGACAGGAAAGAGTGCAACGTAATTCACACAGATAAGAAAACATTTAGCTTGTGGTCAGGTCAGTATACTATGTACAGAGTATGAATAACACTGTGTTTACTCTACAGGACTTTGCCAAGAATAAAGCCATCCCTCAAGGAGAAGACCAGGTTGTGTACTTCCCTCCTGTTTGGAACTGGTCACAGCAGTTCTCCACCAAAGACCAAACCCTCTTTAACAACCCCATGTATGTAGGCAAAGGAGCTGCCTGTGTTCAGAATGGGGAAGTGAAAACCTTCAGGCGCACGAAGGTACATGAGACACTAACTGAGCTTTACAAGTTTATAGGAGTAGCAGCAGCACATTGTTTTATGTGTTTGCTCTCTCCTTTTACTATCTTGTGTATAACAAACACTTTTAACCTCAGCAACTGTTTACAGAGTTTATGCTTTCCATGCTTCCTCACCACTCCACAGTCTTCTTTTATGTGTGTATGTACTTTTACAAAAGGTCACCTCAGTCCTCTACCCTTTTTACAATTATTGCTATTTTTGTATGAATTTAGCTGAAATTTAGTTTTTTCACTCTTTGAAGGAGTAAATGTTTAACTGAGCAATCCACCCAGTCAGCAGATTTGGTTATTGCTGCTGAAATGTTATGGATGGATGTTATGGATGTTTGTTTTTGTGTCATCAGCAACTTCAGAAAAGGCACAGATGGTAAATTATTACACAGAAAATAAATCCGTTGTGTTTTTTTTTTTTTCTTAAGCTGTAGGTTTGACGATCATGAGAATTTGATAACGCTGTTAGAGATGCACTAACTGAGAACATGGAACAAGTGAACTCATGTGTGTTTAATGAAAATAATCAAACTCTGTTTCCTTCCTCCAGCAGAAAACCTACAGTTCCACTTTGCGAGGAACTTCTGCATCTGTGCGTAATGGACTGAGGGGTGGAGAGGAGACGTTGCCCCGAAGGGGCTCTCTGGTGTCGGAGCTGAGGCCCGATTTCTCACCAGTGAAAGATGAAAGCCCATCGGAGCGTTTCTTCAGGGACTGGTTCTCTCGACCGGCTGACCAGCAGGGCCTCCTGATTCCCCTGCTCATGCCCTCACACATGGCTCTCTGGAAGCTCTACTTTCTACGCTGGGTTCCTGAAGCCTGCATTCCCAGAGGAGGCCCCATCACAGCCTACCACAAGCTCTCCAAACTGGTTGATGAAATTGAGATTCTACAGAGCCAGCTCAGGCAGTATAAGGGACCCAGTCCAGGCAGCACGCCACTCCCCAGCCCAAGTGGGCCCCCTTCAGACCAAAGGAGGATGTATTTTAGGGCCGGTTCCCCAAATGACCCCCCTACACCACCAGACTTCCTTACGTCCTCCTTTCCTTTCACTCCAGTGGGAAACCTGTGCCGCCGCGGTATCCATGGGACTCCCATTAGCAAATTTCTGAACGAGGCGAGGATCTGGCTTTCTACAGAGACTCTTGCTAATGACACTGTGTGAGGCTCAGTTTTCTGAGCTCAGCAGGGGCTTGTGTAACAATTAAATCATCTTTTTTTCTATTGCCTCTTTCTTAAATACCAAGAAGGAAAATGAGAAAAAATTCACTTTGGATTTCAGATTTGTAATTATTTATAAGCTAGAATTTGCACCGTTGATGCTGCATTGAAATCTGAGGTAATTTCTAAACTGAAGTGTCATCTACAGGCCTAAATCATTATTGTCCATTACAGTTGAGGAGTTCAGGTTAACTGAAGCACATCATCCTTATTAGTGAGTTGTTACTGTGAGGTCTCCTCTGACTGTGAAAGATCATCATACTTAATGCGTTTTTTATAATAGATGTATTTTCCTATCTAGTTCTACTTTAGGTCTTTCTTAAGATTTAGCTAAGCTTTTAAATCTGCTCGTTTTTTTGCTGAGCATACTGTATGACCCACACACAGCGTGCTTTCGGAGATCTGAATACTGAGTCGAGATGAGGTTGAGAGCTCCCTCTCCAGGATTTACCTGTGATTCGCTGCACATTTTAAAGCAATAATATTGATAGGTGTGTGTGTGTAGCTGTGCTATCAGTTAAGATGTCCTTTCTTTGAAATCTCATCCCCACTGTAATGGATTTTAATATTTTAATCTAAATTGGACTGCTTGAAATTAGAAAATGCCTGTTTTTATTGCAGCAGCAATGATGCATTTCACTGAACACTGATTTTCAAGCACTCAATTTGTCTGTACCTTCCAGGAAATGTAATTGAAGATATTATAATAGTTTACGTAGTTTTTATTTCAGAAAGAGGAACAGAAAATAACACAGCTAACAATGTATTTTACGATGTGGTTAAAAGCAAAGAGGATCTGGCCTGTTTGAATGTAAAGGGGGCGTTTCTGTTTTTTGGGTTTTCTTTTGCACAAGCATAGTGCTATTTGCTCCAAGTGCCCATATTTGAATGGTTGTGTTGGGGTTTCACTGTAAGTAGCAAATATTGTGATTTCAGGGTCTTTGTAGATTTCCTCTATTTTTGAAGCACAGAAAATATATTTTTAGTATCATTAAACAGGTGATACTTCAAGGGGGAAGTGGAGCTGTGAGGACTTCAGTCTGTGGTAGATATTTCCTCTTCTCTTTTGAAGGGGGTTTTTATTACATTTTTCTTGGGGCCTTCTGGTAAGGCACTGAGGGGAGACTATTCAGAATAACAGTAGCTGAATGGGTAAATATTTGAAGCAAAGGGACAGACAAGGGTTTTGACTCAAACCAGTTTCTAGTTGAGTACGTAGTGAATTGAAGTTAATGATCCAATGAACCTGACAGTGATGGGTCGATGATGAGTGGCACAGTTTTAAGGCAGCGCACAAGAAAACGGCAGCAATAAAATCATCTGGATAGCAAGTGTCATAAGTACACCATGTGTGTATGTTGACCTTTCAAAATAAAATGGAAATAAAGGTCAGTTGTCAACTAAAACTACTTTCCACACACTGTTTAAAGATGTTTTCTACAGAAGGAACAAATACTTTTAACTGTAACACTGTTAAACATATTGTATGTAGTTATAACAATACTTACACTTGTATTAACATTTGTTCTTGTTTTTCCAGATAATTCTACTCTGTGTCGATGAATAATATAGTAGATAAAGTGAAGTTAACGTAGCTTCAGGTTTTGTATTAGTCAGCTAGCCTAAAAGTGTCTGCCGGAGAGGTTTACCCCCCCACCNNCCCCCCCCCCCCCCCCGCTGAACTAGGGACTGGTTTGAGACACATCAGGGGAAATGTATCAGTCATCCAGTGCCTCTAAAACTGATGAATAATTAGCACTGTGTAATATTGTAATGTCTTAAAATAATACTAGAACATTTATTATAAAAGGCTTTTTTCATTTGAGACCACTGGCCATACTCAATGCCTGTCCTGTTACACAGGAGCATTGATCCATAGATGCTAAATTGACCAGTTTCCAACAGATAAACTCGTGATTCGTTGGCAATAACTAGTTCAGGTTTTTTTGCTATAGGTGTGTATATTGTGAGTGCAGAACCTGCTCTCCCAAATGCTAATAATTGCACATTTTACTCAATATATAGAATAGTTTGTTTTAAGGTGGTTGTTGAATATAATTTTGGCAAATATTATAAATACTGTATATGCTTGAAATCTTCCAATTAATATTTTTTGATTAATGGTACTAGGAAACTTTTATCCTTGATTTAGTCTTTATATTTTCTGAAGAGATATTTATATGCTGTGTTTTTCCACTAATTCACAGTGTTGCTGTAATTGCATGATGATTGTGCTTCCACTGTGGCACAGTTTGATATTGATCAGCAGCAGATGTATTTATTCAGTTATGCAAATGTTCTCTAACAGGGATGCAAGTGCTACTGTACATCCCGGTGCCTTTTTGGGAAGATTTACCATTTTTGTAACTATATTCTAAATCTAATGACTTATTTTAGTTTTCTAGAACTGTTGATTTATCAATTCTGTAAATCTAGTTAAATTCAGAAGTATTGCACTGAAGCTGTTTTTCCTAACAGAAAATAAGGCTTAAATGTGTACCAGTAACCAATCATTACATTATTTTTCAAATGAATTTGCTTTGTGGCTTTTATTTCACTGGGTTTCACTCATGAAAAGAACAATCCATTTCTGCCAAATGAAGAAACCATTGCTGTTGGTTTCCAACTTCACCTGCTCAATAACAGCAGACATATTCATAAAGATTCCTGGTACCAAGTGACAGTTGTACTCAATAATAATCATACATAAATCATGTCTACCATGAATTTGTTTGGAGCAATAAGATTGTTAGAATTTAGTTTTTTCTTTTTAAAGAATATCACATCCCAATAAAGAGGTAGTAAAGTGTAATAACTCCTGAGGTGATAAATGAGGAGGAAGAAATTATCTCCAAAGGCTGAATGACATGAATCATTCACATTTAAGGTTTGTGGGTGATCTCTTCAGAAGTACCACTTCAAGGTCCATTGTGGAGCATTTAGGAGGATCTATCTGCAGAAATGGAGTATAATATTAAAACATATGTTTTCATTAGTGTATAATGACCTGCAAATAATGGTTATGTTGTTGTTCCCTTAGAATGAGCTGTTTTTATCTACAGAGGGAGCTCATCCTCTTCTACAGAGATCGCCATGTTGAGCCGTCATGTTTCTACAGTAGCCCAGAACGGGCAAACCAAACACTGACTGTAGCCCTACACACTTGGAACTGAACTGTATTCAAATGGTGCAATCTGCAACGTTCACCCGCTTAGATGGCAGCTAAGATCCGTACACAGCTGGTCCTTTAACACTATACTTATTTATATAGCAGCTTAAGAAAACAAACATTGTGTGTACCTTATAACCACAAGCACAATGTAAGAAATAGAACAACTGCAATACAAAATAACAAGCAATACATAATAGAAAAGAAAATATCTTATATAAAACAACTGCTATTGGTGGTGCTTGAGTTTTTAAAAAATAAATTCCTATGCTAGCTAGTTTAAACGTCTGGGAGGCTGACACATTTTTTAGGTCTGACTGATCACACTTTCATACAATTTCTATAATTACTGTATATAAAGTATGACACCTTGCTAGAAATGTTTAAGTTAAGAGTAAGACATTGCAGTATGTTCAGATTGTTTGAAAATAATGCATCTACTTTAGAGATGCACAGTATTGAGGCTAATTTGAGGAAATGTAAGGGGAGAAGTGTTGTCACTATAGGGACATGATATCTTTGTTTGTAATTTTAGTTTTTACGTAATCCTTAGGAACCATTTGCTGACCGAATGAACATAATACTGGATACTGAATCTGTTCAGACAGTTTGGGTTGCTTTAAGGTTAATGAATAAGTAATTATAATATTTAATTCCTTAATGTTTATAATATGGCATTATTTATTGTAGGATGTTATTGTAAGCAGATCTAATCAAATACAACCTCAAGTCATTTATAGAAAGATAAGATTACTACAGGCAATGGAAGAGCAATGTCACTGAGAAGATGATAAATAATCACCACATCCTCTGTTTAGATTTCACATCACCCAAGTCTTTTGCATAAAGAACACTGCGCTTAAAGGAGCCATCACTGCACACACGACTCAGGGAGCTGACGCCTTTGCAGACCTGGAGAAGCCATAGTGTCACGGGCAAGTGATAGTGAAATTCTCCTGCGGACTGAAAAGCATGTCTCTGAACTTTCGCCTTGCTAACAGACAATTTGACAGGTTTTAGCAGTAAAAGCACAGGCCTAAGAGTGACAATAACAAAACGTTGCACTGTTGTGTCTCCAGTGAGCCCCGCCATGCACATAACAAGGCCTGGCACTGGAACACCTAAATGGTATACAAGTCATTATTAATGTCGTTAATTAACACTTTTCCTCCTAAGACATGGTAAACACAACGTAAAAAGGCCTGTTTACCTTTGGTGTTAATTACTGTATCAACACCTTCATTTTTTACCATATAGTCAGAAGCTTTTTGTTTGTGTCAAGGTTAGATTATTAACCAGGCAAACTTCCCTCTGCTCCAGATCCCTTAGAGACCCTAGATTCTAGAAGGTTTTGGGCAAATTTTGAGTACAAGCAAAATCTAGTTCATGTTGTACACACATGGGTCATATTCTTTTTAAAAAATCATATAACTGCAGCTGAATTGACATACAAAAACCTGAAGTCAGGTAATGTTATTCCAGCACAGTACCTGCCTTGTCTACCTGTCTGTGTCAAAATATATGGTACAGTGCAAAAGAAATTTTGAAATAAATGCTTGCACATCAGGAAAACACTTTTTTAATTTGAGATGCTATTTTGAAATGAAAAGCATCACTTTGGTTATTTGTAATTATTTTAAAAATTTTATTATTATTATTATTATTATTATATATACATGATTTATATTATTCTGTATTTTATATTATATAATTTATATTTATATTATTTATATATATATTATATTGTTTTCTTTGATATTTTTATGATTAACATTTTTTATTTCAACAACACAATAAAAACAACATTAACATTTTTACAAATTCTGTTCCAATCTTCATCATTAAATGTCAGGTTCAGATCCCTTTCCCATGTCTT